TCCAAATTGTAATTTTTATTATTTTCGCTTACGAAGAAACGAGCTGGTCGGATAAATTGTAAATATCACTTTAATATTTGGGTAAATTTTCCTTTTTCATTTTCTATCCACTGAATCCTTTTAATATTTTTTTAAAATATTCATTTAGTTGTAAATACCACACAAATTATTACTTTTTTATTTGGAGAAAATAGTGATGACCAATAAAAAATCTAGATGAAAATTGAATTTTCCGTGTTTCTCGATCGAAAATTTAAATTTATTTATTTTATTTAGACGTGCCGGTTTCAAATCTCTATTTTAATTTTCGCCTTTCCATTTCCAGCCCACCAGTCGGGCAAGGAAAACGAAAGAAAAACAATCTACGGTCCGGAACATGATGGCGGGTTAGAAAATTTTTCTCCATCACCAGCGGACGGAGGGGCGGCGATTTCACCCCGTCAGAATTTAAATTTAGTTCTAATAGCATTAGCAGCAGCTGCCGTATTTCTCATCATTTGCATCGTTGTAGCGGCCTCCGTGCTCGCTTGCAGACGAAGGCCCGACCCGATAGGTTTGCATGTTCGCAGAAGACGCAGGAGAAGTGATAAAAATTCCGACGGATCGGACGCCGGTTTCAACGAGGGTTTTCATCGGAGAAGCTCTCAATACAGGGTCAGCATGTACGAACAAGAAATGGAAATGGAACCGACGGATTCGCGACGAAATACGCGTAAGTTTATTCAATTTTATTCACTCATGGAGATTAATATTAAAAAATTAGTGTCTGTTTCGTCTCATTGATAAATAATTTTTAGCAGATATGCCATTTTTGATTAAATTTTGCCTAATAGAAATACTTAACTCAAAGGTCGAAATTATAAAGCCTGAAAGCTTTGGTGAAACCTAGAATGAACCAGTCATTTCGGGAACAGACTGTATATTGACCTTTAATTGTAACATATTAGATATAGTGTTGTATGTAGAAACATAGTGGAAAAGCTGTGCTTCGAAAAAAGCTCCCTCTTCCGTTTCAAAAGGATGGTCCTGTTAGGGATGCCCTTACGACTTCCTTATTGGAACTTGTCCGTAGAAGAGGTGAAGCATTCAGACAAGGGATATATTTACGACATTTTTATTACGATTACTTAAAAATTATAAGCACAAAAGTGTGCAATTATAGAAAAGTTCTATAGATATTCAAACGAGTAACAGGAATGCGCAGGGTATAAGCGAATATCCGTCCTTGAAACGCGGAACTTCCGCATTAGTTTTCTCATGCGCCTCCGCCATCCATATCCGCAAAAAAAAAAACGGTTGTCTGTAAAGTCGATTTACTGACGATAGTTGAACGTAACAACGTCATAAGAAAATACTGAGTAGAATTTCGATCAAATGCGATTTCTACAAAGA